AGAAATTTGAATTTTTAATTGTTGTAAAAATAATGATAAATAATAAATAAACCATGCTGCATATTAATATATAGACACAATGCCATTACTATTACACATGTCTTTTATTTTCTGGTATTTACTATTACAGTATTTGCGGTATTTACGGTTTTACGGTTTCACGGTTTCACGGTTTACGTTATTTACGGCAAATAATACGGCACATGCCATAACTGTATTATTTCTGTTTGGGAATTCCGACGACAAGTATAGTCCAAATATTCACAAGACATTTGAAATTCTAAATTATAACATAAAATATAATGTTTATTTGGAATTAGAACAATGGGAAATAAACCTCATTCTTTAATTAATGACTTTTTTGTTTCTTTATTTTGTTTTTATCTCGGGCAATAACAATATATCTAATGCATCCACATCAATGTCAATATCATAAATTTGTCTTTGGATTCTTTTCAAAGCAATAATACTAATAAATATAATATTGAAAGATTTATGCTACAAAATCTGAAGAATCAATATTAGAGGATCACTTACTTCATATAACTATATCTAATGGTATGGCTTTCAGGTGGATTGAAAGTGAAGAAGTAAAGTCCCTTTTCAAATGGTTGAATCCAAATAGGAAGGCTCTTTCTGGAAGAATTTTGAATGATGCATCTTTTAAACATAATCATTGGATAGCAAGCATCCAATTTGTTTCCAAATTACCTAATATGTATAATAATTTGGACTGTCAAATATACCAATGTGACTTTATTACACCATGTCCAATTCCAAATACTAATTGGACATTTTGATCCAGATATTGGACACAAATTGGACAAATTGAACAATTGGACAGATTTGCCAACACTGACCTTAGGTAGGACAGAAAATTACTTTTATATTTTTAAAATTTGCACAAAATTTAGGAGGTCTTTAGACTGAGCCAACTATATCATTTACCATTAACTTTCTCCATAATCACTATAATCAAACTGTATACAATTCCTCTACAAGCTTCAAATAACTTAGTGAACCAACATGATTTACATGGACTTTATGTGCTTCCTCATTATAATGCTGAGTATGCTTAATAAATAATTTCTATATATGTTATTTGTTGACAACACTAGTGGACTTGTATATCTGCTGTAGGTGAATGTTATACCATTAAATGTATTATGATAATGATTATTGTGAGATCGAAATCCGCGTCTTACACAAATCTCTTGATTTAATTAGAATAGTGTTTTATTTAGTTTATACAGCTGTGACCGAATGTCTTAATAATTTAATTTCAATTGCAATTACTCTTCTTCTTTGTATGGCATTAATAGCGCTTGCTCTATTAATCCGTTGTAGGGGCAAGTTTTACTTCCCTGTCCGGTAACGCTTTCTCGGCAGTTCTTTGTTATCTGCCTGAGCCGGCACGTCCCAAAGATATTTACCTTCCTAAATATCCACCTTGGTTCTTTAGGCTTATCAGTTACTTAGCCGTGGTAGGTTTGAGTTTGGTTTGTTTATGTTTAGGCTCAGTGTCTGGGCTGACCGCACTTAGCTAGGGTTTGCTCCTCTTAGGAGTTGGCCTAAACTAAATAAAATAAAGAAATAAAATTAAAAGAAATACACACACAACTATACTTATCAAAGGCGTCCCCCTGGTAAGATAGGAACTAATTAATTAGTTAGGTTAGTTAGACAAGCGAATGGGTTCTTCCACTGGCAAGAATTTTCAGAAAAAGATATTTATGTTTATTAAGATATTATTGTTACAAGATAGAGATGAACTTAAGATTACATGAAGTAAGAAAATTACTACGTTATTTATACATGTTAAGGGTTCTATCATCTAGTTCTCTGGTTTCTTTGAAATCCTAAATTTTACTGATTAAATGTATTCCTTAAACATTATTTAATAAAATCCGTGCGTGACAAACGTTTTATATTTATAATATTAATATTAATATTATAATTAATAAAAAAAGGGGCCGATACTTAAATCCGTTGTAACAAGAAATCTTTGTGGTGAGGTCCGCTGTGACAAGTTTAACTGTAATTATAATCATATATAAAAAAAAATTAATAAAGTGATGGTTAACCGCTTAACCGCAGTTAAACGGTTAACGTTTTGAATCTGGCAAGAGTTTCATTATAATGCAATGATAACAACGTCATGTATTTTCAGTAAATAAAAAAGAACGAAAAAAGAAAAAAATTGTAATAAATTTAGCTCAATGCTCACTCTTCAAAAAGAAACATCCAATTGTATAGGGACCCTATTCACAATTTTATCAACTAAAAACAACCCCAAACATCACATTAAATTTACCCACCCATTTAGGAAGGAAATTTTTTTAAAACCTTTGGATTTTTTGATTTGGGAAAAAAATAATTATGGACATAATATTTGATATACAATTTCAACATTATTTCAAAAATTTGTTTTTAATTGGGAGACATTCTTTTTTATCATTATATCAAATATATACGTGATAAAAAAAATTGGCTTTTTTATTTTATTTGTTAATAATAGTAGTAAATAGTTTATAGAATAAACAAAAATAAAAATATTAATGATATATTATAAATATTTGTTATGGTGGATATTTTCTCCAATCACGTGGAACGTGCTTCAGGTTAGAAGCAGCACAACCACGTAAAGCCTTTACGGATGATTTTAAACATTGTTGTCTTCCATTTAATAAGCAACAATGAATAAATTCCAAGATGATAACATCATTAGCAAATACCATTTGAAGATTGTTGTTGTTGATGAATTGATGAAGAAAATTCTTCTGATCCCCAATCATAGTCCAAAAAGCTATCAAAAAGGTCAAGAAGGCTTGTTTCAGTATTAGTTGAAATAACAGGATCTGACAATTCTGTTGTTGTTGATGGTTGTATGGCAAATGGATTTGTGATGATGTCCCGTAAAGGTTCCTGAACTTGACGTGCCGCTGCAGGGACTTCTTGGAAACATTAATTTCTTGATGATATTGATTAAAATAATCATTATAATAATTATTATTATTGCTTTTTTTTACTTCTTCTTCTTTATTATTATCATCATCATCATTAAAAGAAACTGAAGTTTCCAAGGCCGCGGATACTGCTGATCCGCAAACACCGTCAAGTAGGACTTTGTTCATCTCGGAAATGGAAAGTTGCGATTGAATTTCAGCAAGCTGCCCTAAAATGGTATCTAATTTAGCCGATAAAATTGAATTTTCCTCTTCTACAATCTTTAATCTTTTTGATAAATGTACATTTTCTTCTTTAAGGACTGTATTCTGTGACTCTAAATCAGTCATTTGTTTTCTTTTTTTATCTCTTGACATTTGTGCTGCATGTCGATTTCGAAGTATTCTATTATCGAATGAATTATTTATTATTTATTGGAAAAATTATTTTGTGATTAATTGATAAATGAAGAATGATAATATCATCATACCTTTCACGTTGTCTTTGTTCTTTTTCTTCTATACTTTCAGCTTTTCTCTTTCGACCACCAGTAGTTTTCTTTTTAGCTTCTTCAACCACTGATGATGATGAAAACGAAATTTGACCGGCGGAAGTTAAACTACTGGAACAGTTTGATGTGAGTTTTGTATCCGGAATAATGTTTTTAGTCAATGTTGGTTGAATTGGTTTTAAGGTGGTGGAGGCTGAAGAAAGTATTTTGGAAGTTAAAGGAGCAAAGCATTCATTATTTGTCATGATAGGAGACGAAATTGCAGAAGAGGAGGAAGAAAATATTTCCGAGGTCACCAAGTCTTCATTCCAATTTGAGTAATCATTATTGTGAGACAAAGGACTCTCGTAACCATTGGCATCATTGAAATGTTGGTTTGATGAAGACATGGTGACTTATTATAATTTATTATTATTATTATTAATGCAGCTTGGGCCAGTTCTAACAAAAAGGAATATTATAAAATTAAAAAAAAAAGAGAATAAATTTTCTTTTTTTCTAAAAAAAAGTTTTTAAATATTTATTTATTTTATGAATTATGTTAATTTTAATTGGATTAAGCTTTATCTTGATATATATATATATACTAAGACCAAGACCATGTAAGGAATGACCCGATTTTGAAAAAAAGCCACATAATCATAATTTCCTAAAATGAGAGTTGTGGGGCTTTCCGTGTTCCGTCCCCAGATTTTTAGCGGACGATTCTTTACTTGTTCCTTTCCCAATTTACAAATAGTGGGGTTTCTTAAATAGTATCAAATCTAACGTATTGCATTTAATATATCAAAATGTTAGATTTAATGGATCAACTCTTTGTATCCCTTTAATGATAGATATTATTTGGGGCATGGCCAAGAAAGCCTTATTGAGTGTGACCGCCAACACTATGATTCGAAAAAAAATGTGGCTGTCTCGTCATAGATTCGCGTCAATAGAAAATGGAAAAGGTCACACCGCCTTTATTACTATGTCACGAATTCGGTATGACCGATGACATTTTTCTTTGTGAATTATAGTGTAACCGGTGAACCTTTTCTTCTTCCTTATCAATGTGAATATAAGGTGGACAGTGACATTTTTAAATTTTAAAGTACTATCGAATCATAGTGTTGGCGGCGACATTCAATAGAGTTTTCTCGGTCTTATGGACCATCAATGTACCGGCACCATAGCCAGTCCTGCGATATACGGAACAGATAAAATATTCCTATTGAAAACGTTCAAAATCTTGTATGATTTCAGTAAGAAATTAAAAGCAATGGCTGACCATATCGCAACTATGGATAAATCAAGTTGTACCAACTATTCCAACTTTTATAACTCGATAAACATTTAAAATTTGAGTTTTTTTTTTTTTAAAGTAAAAAGTAGAAAAGACTTGTAAAGCAATCGACAAAAACATCATGCATGTTTTAATGGGTGAATAGTTTTTCTGATCAAATAATGAAAATTCCATGCGTGTATCCGGTTTTTTTTTTTGAAAAGCGAAAACTTTCTTTATGCTAATGGAAAATCCTGTTATCATTAGAACCCTGCTATTTCTAATGAATATACACAATATTCTGTAGCAACTTTTGTTGCTCGTTATTCACCTAGTGGTTATTATATAGCGTCTGATGGTAAATAAATAAAATAAACAAGAGACATGAAATATCTGTGTAAATATGGTAATAATAATAACTGTTTAGTATATGCACGTATATATGTTTAACAAGATATTCATGGCAATCTCAACCAGATTTTAAAAACTGAGGTAAAAGTAATTTCAGGGACTCTGAAAGTAAAAGGATTGTTGCTGTTGGTTATGTTAAGTCAAAACAAGGGAATCCATTTATTTATTTAGGTGACAAAATTCTTATTGAAATATAAAAAAAAGTCGTGGACGTGTTTTCGTTTGACATTGGATCTTCTGTTGGACATACAAAAACGATCAATACTGTTGGTATTCGTTAAAAAAGACCTGATGATAACCGTGTAGGATTTATTTATTAACTAAGAGCGTAAAATTAATATTATGACCAACCGAGAATTAATCAATAAATGTCGAGTAGTATTTGATTAATGAAAAATAGATACAAGTGGCAGTAGTATGTTCCCACATCCAGAAGGTATTTGTTACGATGATGATATCATTCATCGGAACAATAATCCTTTTAGAGAGAAACAAAAATTCACAAACAGAATCAAGAGATTAATTGACAACGAAAGAATTACTGTAAATAATTTATTTCTTTATTTTTACATTTTACAGAAAATTATTTTTTACATACACATTATATTTCTTTCCTTTGACATGGAAAAAAACAATTAAAAATTTTTTTTTAAATAACTTTAACTGGTTCAACATTCCAAATACTATCTGCATATTCTTGAATAGAACGATCACTAAAAAGCGAAACAAGAAGAAAATTTTTAATTGATTATTATTACCAGAAATCATAAAAACCGTAATGATAATTAATACTTACGAAGAAAATTTGCCCATAAGAGCAGTACAAAGAATACTTTTCTTTATCCATTCATCTTCATCTTTATAAGCTTCATCGATCATTTGTTGTGATCGAAGATATGAACCAAAATCGTCGGAAATTAAATAATAATCTTTTCCTATTGTTAATGTACTGGTTAATGGAGAAAATATTCTTGGATCACCGAATTGTCCAGATTCGATACTTGCTAAAACTTCTTTTAGTTTTGGATCCATCTCGACATTTCGATATCTTCAGAGAAAATAAGAAAGATATTGGGACGGGAGAAAATCACAAATAAACAATATTAATATTTATTTTATACACCCTCTCTCTCCCTTTAAATATAGATACACACCTATGAGCATGTCTTAAATCGTCAACAGCATCGGCCAAATTTCCAAACATGAAAATATTTTCATCGCCAATTTCTTGGTGAATTTCAATATTAGCACCATCAACTGTTCCAAGAATCAAACCACCATTCAACACAAATTTCATATTGCTTGTACCGGAAGCTTCTGTACCAGCTGTTGAAATGTGTTGTGAAATGTCTGAAGCTGGAATGATAATTTCTGCAACTGATACGTTATAATCTGGTATAAAAACAACCTAAAATTAGAGAATATTAACGATAATGATGGATTGATGATGAATGAATATTAATTAAATAATGTAAATGTTAATTTTAATTTTAAATAATAATAATCATTATAATAATTATATTCAACTTACTTTCAAAGAATCATAAATACTTTGATCATTATTAACAACTTCTGCAACACTGTTTATCAATTTTATTACCAATTTAGCAATATAATAACCTTTTAATTACAAATAAATAATAATAATTATTATTATTATCAGTAATAGCAAAAAAAAAAATTTTTAATAATAACAATGATGAATAACATTATTGTTTTTAATTAATTTACCAGGAGCAGCTTTACCACCAAATATAACAACACGATGGACAACATTTGAAATTTCATCAGCACTCAATTTTTTCAACGCATTATAACGATGAATAACACTATAACAACATATTTTTCAAAAACATTTTTTAAATCATTGGTTTGAAATAAAAATATAACGTTTCTTTATGTCAAATAATTATTATAATCACCCCAAAATATTCATAAATTGTCTTTTATATTCATGAATTCTTTTTACTTGAACGTCAAATAAAGCATTTGCGTTTACCGCTATATTAGTATGTGCTTTAATATAGTCAGCCAAACGCACCTTTTATATATAATTATAAATAAAATATAAGAATTATTAGTGCAAATGTAAATATAATGATATAATATTATACTAAAAATATTATGCTTGCACCTTATTTGAATGTTTGATAGCTTTCCATTTTTTCTTGAAATCTGGATTATCAGCATATTTTGTTAAATTTTTTAATATGAACAAATCTTTTAACCATTCTTTAGTTTGCAATGTTTCTGTTATCAAATCACTTAATCTAGGATTTGCTTGATGTAACCATCTAAAAACCAAAGGAAAACCAAATGAAAATTGATTTGCATTTTTCTTCATATATAAAAAACCAGAATATCCACTAAAGAATTAATAATGAGTGAATACCTGCGAGGAGTAATACCATTGGTCTTATTTTCAAATTTGTCTGGACCATAAAATTTTACAAAATCTTTAAATATCTAATAATGATAATAATTATAATAATAAAATATGAAAAATCAAAATAATAAAGAATAAATCATTTTTATTAAATGAATTCTTAAACAATTATTATAATAAATAATTTACCGTTTCCTTAATTAATCTTGAGTGAAGTTCAGCAACTCCATTAACACGATGTGAACCTACCAAATTTCATGTCAATTAATTGATTAATTAGCATGATAATATGATAACATTAGCAAAAGAATAATTTAAATAACAATTAACATACCAACAATAGCAAGATGTGCCATTCTATTAAAAAAATTTTTAATTAATTTTAATATATATGAAACTATTATTAATATTAAGATTGTTATAACTAGCTAACCTGACAAATTGTGGAGATGCTTCTTCAATAATTGATAATTTGGCTAAAAGATCTCGTTCTTTTGGAAATTTTTTTTCAACGTTTTGTAAAAAGAACTGTCAAGTAAATTAAATAATGAGAGATCAATAAATCAAATAAATAAAAATTAATAAAAATTTATAAATCATTATCTTTTTCTTACAAGATTTAAATCAAATATTATTTGCATATGTCTTGGTAAAAGATATGAAACCATAGGAACTGGCCATTTCTCCATAGCTTCAGGAAGTATAGTGTGATTTGTAAAAGCAAATGTTTTGGTAACAATTTCCCATGCTTTATCCCAATCAAGTCCCTAAATAAATAAATTTATTTTTAAAAAAAAAAATTTAAAGTGAAAATAATATAATAATTATTATATATGACTTACTTCAATATCGACTAAAATTCTTTGAAGTTCAACGATTGCTAGAGTTGGATGAGTGTCTAGTGTATATATATATATTATATAAAAGATACACATGTATTAAAAAAATCTTTTCTTTAGAAAATAATACATGATCAAATGTTTAATGATTATATACCATTCAATTGAATTGCGACCTAATTAATTAATTAAAAAAATTAAATAAAAATTAAATAAAAATTAAATAAAAATTATGTTAATAATGAAATTAATATATTAAGTTACTTGTGTAGGAAAATCACTCCATGGTCTCTCTGTTTTTTTAAACCGGCGAACTCTACATATAAATAAAATATTACTTGAATATTTCATCTCTACCAAAAAAATCAAAATCTTCAAATTCAATTTAATTTACATGTCATGAAGACTTGCAGCAACCCAGAAATATTGTTGTTTGAGACGTAATTCTTTTCCAACCATGTGATTATCATTAGGATATAACACTGCAGTTATGTTTTCAGCTTGTTTTTGTTCTTGCACAGCTTTCTCATATTCTCCCTCATTGAAATATTTAAGATCAAATTGACGTTTAGGTTTACTATTCCATAATCGAATATTATTACAATTGTTGGTATCATAACCTATATATGAGTGAATAAATAAACAAATTAATGAAAGGATTAATGCGTGTGGCGCGAATATTTTAAAATTATTTCTTCAAGTTCTCTATTACCTGGAATGGGAACATCGTAGGCAACAGCTTCTACAGTGTCAGAACCCTCCCAGGTATATCTTTCACGGCCTTTTTCATCAGTATATTTACTAACAGATCCACCAAAGTTAACATCAACTACAACGTCAAGACGTGGCAATTCCCAAGGGTTATCAAAATTTAACCAATAATCTGGAAATTCTACTTGATATCCATCCTTTAATCTAAGGTGAATGTTTTACAAAAAAGTTAAACATTTTAACATGCTATATTTTCCATAGTAATTAATATTTCCTTAGATTATATAATCTAATATTTATTTATTATTTACCTTTGCTGAAAAATACCATAAGTGTAACGAAGACCATATCCCCAGGCTGGAATATCTAAAGTGGCCAAAGAATCCATATAACAAGCAGCCAGACGGCCTAGGCCTCCATTACCAAGTGCAGCATCAACTTCTTGGTCAAGAACATCCTCCATACTAAAACCTAATTCTTTTATTCCCTCTATAACACATACAAAATATGTGAATAATTAATAGAAAAAAAAATTTGATTGATTGATTATTAGATTATTAGATTATTTTTATGCCAATTACCTCCACAAACATCTTTCACCCTTAAATTAAGAAGAGCATTGTCCAATGATCGACCCAACAAGAATTCCAATGATAAATAGTAAACACGCTTAGGATCAACCTCAGTATGTCTCTAAATGGTTAGAGGAATGAAAATTTTTATTCATTGGTTATTTTATTTGCAAGAATTTTAATTTACAAAACAAACCTGTTGGGTATAATTCCAACGTTTAATCAATGTATCTCTAACACTATATAAATATATTCATATATGTAATAATGTATAATATATAATAATAAATGAATTACAACCATTTTTAAAAATATAAAATCAAAACCTACGTGTGGGCAGTTGCTTGATAAGCACTAAAATTATCAACATTGTAAATGGATCTAGCAAGTGTAGTTGCTACATGATTGACAAATGCTTTTTGGAAGCTTTCTTTATCTGATTTTTCAAATGATAATCAATTTTAAATTCATTTTTTTTACACACACATGATATCATTTATGAAAATTATTTTGTAATAATTATTTTAGTTTTAATACCATTTGATTCTTGAACAGAATATTTTTCCCATAAACTAAGACAAGTAGTCGGATAATTTTTTTTTGCTGTTAAAAGCTCTTTTTTTGGGACTCCAGTGTGAGAACGTACATGATTTTTTGCTGGTGTTGCTTTTGTTGAATCTATTACCATTTTGGATATATAATTATTGTTTTTTTAAAAAAAATGGTAAAGCAAATTACTATCGATATTTTGGTAATAAATCATTAGAGATTATTTATATATTTAGAAAATTTATTATCCGTCCAATTAAATTATCACATTATAAGTGTAGTTGTCATTATTACATCATTTTGCCATTATTAGTTTTATTTATCTTTTTTATCTTGTAAAATCTTTATAAACAAAATTTCCTGATTAAGTAAAGATTTTTCCAAAAAAATCAATTATTTATTATATTCTTTTGTTCCATGATGATCGATACTATATAGAGCAATACAATTCAGCATCAGGTATTTCATATTAGCTGTCGACTTGGATGAATCATCATCATATTATATTGTAGTTTGTCGTCGCCAAAGATATTTATTCACTTGTCACCACGAATTTAATGTTGATATTTACTATCTTGTATGCCAGGATGCAGTGTAATCGATGATTTAATCTTTCGACGTTCATTACCATGTGAACACATCCTAATTCGTCCTAATTTAAATATATCAGCCAAAAAAAAATCGTACGTTTTTTATTCTGCAATAATCACGTAATGTAATAATAATAATAAAGTAACCAATTTTTTCCTTGATAAATTTTCCTTGAAGCAATAACATTCATTAATACATTGGTGAAAATAAACTCTGATTTTTTCTTTTTTTGTATATAACTTGAAATAACAAAGACTGTACCAAGTTTTTAGATCAGAGGCATAATATACGATCGATAATCGATAAATTCATAAATTTTTGCTATATTAGGGAACCAAAAATGTTGTGTAGCAAAATTTTTTCTCACTAACCCAATACTAAAAAAATATTACAGTGCGGATCATCAAAATCTTTGAAATATTTATGTGATCCACACAATGGGATTTTAAAAAACCCGCAATTCAGCTTTAAAAAAGGGAGTCTATTAATCTAAAAAAAAAAATAACAGTCGCAGGTAGTGTTTCTAACCGAAAATCAAATTTTTTACGAATATTCGAAAATCAATTTATTCAAGGATATTCGAATATTAATATATATAATTTATTTCGTAATTATTTACAAATGATTATCGATTGATAACAAATAGTACTAACTTATTTGTATTTTATCATATTATCTAATTAAAAGATAATAAAAAAATAGCTTATATTGCTACAACAATTTAAATATTTTTTCAGAAACGTTTTCATTTACTCTCTCTCTTATAAAAAACGTTTTCTTTCTCATAGAAACGTTTTCATTTATAAAATAACTCTTTCTCATTCTTGAGTTTCTCAACTTTCAA